GGGGGGGGGGGGGGGGGCATGTGTTGATGTAGCCTGCTGTTGCCTCTTCACTGAGCGGTTCGGCTGCATATCGGGAGCTGGGGATACGTCGGTTTAGGCTCTGGTTTGAAACTTAAGGATCGTATCCAGGCGAAGCCTGGGGATGAGCAGCAGAAAGCCTGAACATCTTCTAGAACAATGAAATGCCCTTTTTTTGGTCTCTGCATGGTCGTACGATGTACCCCAAAACCGTATTCAAGTTGTTAAGCCTGAGCATCTTCGATCTCAGATCTCCCAACGTAATCGCGATCCACAACTGAACTATCTGTCTAATATCGGAGCCTTCATAATCGGAAGTATACTAGGATACACCCCACAACCATGTTCTAATTATCAATGCCCCTACGTGTTCTGTAACCTCGCGAGCCCTGAAGCACATCCCGAATCCCTAAAGGCTCCCCTCGAAGCAAACGCTGAAGCCTAAGCTGCCAAAAAGCACCGTTGAAAATATGCACTAAACCTCAAAACCTAAGCTCTGCAAGTTTTCCTTAGCCTGAAACCCGAAAATCTCGCAGATCCCTTAAACAGGATCGAAGCAGAGACCCCTGCGGAGGCCGATCTGCCTGGACCCATCGGAGATTTTCCGAACATGAAGAGTCTCGTCGCCGCTTCCCGACTCCTAGTCCAGACAAAGATTGCTGGAGGAGCCCAGGGCTTGTCTTCTTTGTTTCTTGCTTGGTTTTGGAGTTTAGGGCGTACAGGTTTTAGGGTGTCTTTTCTTCCTGTTCTTTTTTGGATTTGGGGCTTGGGGTACTTAAGGAGTTTAGGACTGTGGGTTAGCCTGTTCTTAGGTGTGGATGTTGCTGGGTGTGCGAGTCCGGCACAGTCGGGGGTCAGGGGCTTTATGGCATCTGGCTTGCAGATCTGCGTCTCGTAGCTATGCAGACGTGGACCGGTGAATTGGCAATGCGGGATCTGGTCGAGTATGATTATTCGGCCCTGTATCATGGATCCCAGATTGCCCAACTGGTTCTCATGATCATGAAAGATCGTGCATAAGCTTTGACACTCGTTTGCTTCGAATCTTTTTCTTCACCCCCGATCCGCTTTCCAGCAAATTATGAACAACAGGGTAATGCAGAGGCCGTAGCAAGAGTTCTTGCAGGAGCCTCCGGCGAAATTACCGATGCTTTCGCCCTCTTTGCTTTGTCTCTGCTGGGTGGCAGCGCCCTCCGAGAGCTGAATGAAAGCTGTGCCAAGAACGAAACGAAGGCGCTGTCTCAGGTTTTGCGAAGCCCAAGAGCCAAGCTCTTACTGTCTGTACGATACACGTACTACGTACGTACGTACGCAAGACAGTAAGTAAGGAAGTAAGCAAGTAAGTAAGTATGGAAGTAAGCCACTATACACCTTATACATACCTATGTAGGTATGTATGTATGTATGTATGTATGTATGTATTTGTATGTATGTATTTGTATGTACACGTACATGTAGATGTACATGTACATGTATCTCCCTGTTTTATATATGTATTCAGCAACCACAATGACAGGGCTGGGCCCCTTCGTTGCTGCGCGCCGCTGCGAGCGCCTTCCGAGCTCTGCCGGCAGAGCGCTCCGTGCCTGTGGCGGTGAAAGGGATGTTTGGATTTGGGGTTTAGGGGTTAGGGTTTAGGGTTTGGGGTTTTGGCTTTGGGGATTTTTGGGGGGTTTGGGGTTTTAAATGATCTCAAGGCGTTTGTGGTATAGGGTTTAGGATGTTGAGGGTTTGGGTTCAGGATCTGGTGGCTTTGAGGTATGGGAGCCCTTTCCTTCTTCGCGGTATTGAACAAGGCGCCAGCACAAAAAGCATCAAGAAGCCTCAAGCCTGAAGCCCGCAACTCTACCGTCACCCCCGTTTAGGGCCCCTAGTAGCCAAAAGAGGGCGAAACCCTCAATCCAGGATCCGATGTCTGATTATTGCTTTGTCTGTGCTATTGCTAAAGCTCTCTTTAAGTTTCCCAAATCCATGAAACTCTGACTTTTGTTACTGGAGCTGCGATGCTAACATGAACAAGAATCAGCAGCACAACGAGCGATACGACGACCAGAGCAGCGCTACCAGCTGCAGAAGCATTCAATATATTAGGGTTTAGGGTTTAGGGTTTAGGGTTTAGGGCATGTCATGATGGTGGCAAACCCTTGCCCTCCTCTGCCTCCTCGTCTTTGGTCGTCCATGTATGCAGTGTGCACTTATTTGTTCACTCACTCATTCATCTGTCCGTTCAGCCCTCATCATAGCAACTGTCAGTCTTCATCGTTAGCAGCATCAGAACCGTCATCACCAGTAGCGTTTCGTTGCACACCTATTGAGTGGCAATGGCGGCGACAATGGTGGCCATAATGCACGGTGCTGGTGATGGTGCTGCTTCTGCTACTTTCGCGGAGTTACAGTGACAGCGACAATCTGGAACTCTGAACCAGCCATTAGATCCTTGGAAAGAGATGAGTTCCTGAAATGACTTCCTGCTTTCGTTGTCAGTACCGGCAGACGCTTCATACTATTCATTACTATTCGTGACAGAAGATGCGGCAACCCCAAAACGCTACGTAGTTTCAACTTTCAACATTAAAGCCACTGTATTAGGTGGTCTTCCGAGCCGTACGGCTGACGGGTGAGACTCTGGCAGCCTACAGGCAGCGGTGCTCTAGAGGAGAGGCATCAAGTTCCAGCTGAAGTGTCGTTTCCTGCAGATCATGGAACTGTCCTGTGCATTGAAGAAGATGTGATGTTACTACTGTGCCTGGTACTCCTTTTGCGTCCTTCCCTCGCCCTATATACCCTAAACCCTGAAAGCTGCCCCTGATAAGCCCTGTAAGCCCCAAGCCCTTGGTCCTTCCGTCGGCATTTCGGCTCAGCTGCTGTGCGACAGAAACACCTCAGTTGCGTGGCGCCTTGAAAGAAATCGCGGCCACTTCCGTGGCGCTGCCTTCTCCAGGAAGAGACTCGGACGCACAGAGAGGACATGGCAGTACCATTAAACGTAATAGCACGAGTAGCATCACCAAGGAAAGCAATGATAGCATAACAATGCTAACGAGAGTGATGGCAAGAGCATTCAAAGTGAAAAGAAGAAGACGGAACATATGAGCTATATTATAGCAGCAGCGATAGCCTTTAGTAAGAGTTGTTCTTGTTTCTATCATTCCTTTGATTTTTATGTAGTGTTGTTATGCGTATTATATGTGTAAGTTCACTGTAACTTTTACTATTAGTGTTTCGTTTGTTTGTGTTCGCAACAACTTCGTGGGTTTTTTTATGGTAAGCAGGCATTTCAGGACATTTCGTCTCTATGTCCCGGAAGCTTCAGCTGTGCCAACAGGATGAAGGTAGGTAGCAAGTAGCCGTAGTAAACTTAGTAAAGATCTGTCCGAAAATGCCAGGAAACTCCGATCACCCAGTGATTGTGACCAAAGTCATCTATGACGCATTTTGCGCCGAGCATCCGCGAAGTTTGGGCGTGGAACTTGCAGCCTGAGCTCCATGCCCTTCAGCGGACCATTCATGACGCGGGACCTGGCGCGGTGATCGCAACCAGTCTTGCAAGTTCTGCTTTGCATCGGCAAACCTTGCATCTCAAGTTCGACCGCACACGAGTTCCAGACTACTCAAGCATTCCCAGTCGTAGAGCATGAGATCGAGGCAACTAGTTGATAGATGTATGCGCCAGAGACACCATGGCGGTAGCCTGCAGGGTACAGATTCACCAATTGGCCACAGGACAAAAGGCCCTCCTTGAACTGTCACTCTGATGGCGGTTGCTTTTCTGCACTGGCAAATGCCTCTTGCCGAATTCAGATTCGCCCGAGGCAATCGACACGGAATTCCCCGGCGTGTACCAGGAAGACGCCTGGAAGAAATCCGGTGAGGTCGGGAGCAGAAACCCGAACAAACCCTAAATTACTAAACCCTGAACCCCGCCCCTTTCGGACCCCAAAGCCCTAAAGCGGGAGGGGAAAGGAAAGGCTCCCTCACTCGCGGAATTGTGTCCCTGGACTATGACTATGTTCCCCTGAAAGGGGGCCCTTCTGACCCTACTTATGGCTCTCTTAAAAGGGACCTTATTGAGAGGGACTACATCCCCAAGGGTCCCCTAATCCTAACTCCTAACGATTCAGAGTTGATGGACCTATGGTTTGTGCGCATCCTGTTTTACGAGTGTTGATCAACCTGCTGCTACTGTCCAGAAAAATCTGGCGTCAGTAGTGATGCTTGCGATGACCACTTGGAGTAGCACTCTTATTCGTGCTAGAAGCATGATTACAAGTTTTATTGTGCTCATGCTAATCTCTCATGATGTGATGATGATCATTACTATTATTACTATTATTACACTATTATTGCTACTATTACCATTATTGCTATTATTAATTACTATTATTGTTAATGTTATTATTATTATGTGATTATTTTATGTGATTATCGTTACTGTTAGTATTGTTGTTACTAGTTGATCGCTCCGAGAGGTGCAGTACCGCGCGATGCGGGACAGCGTCAGCCTTTTGAAGCCAATCCAGCTCGGCCTTGCTGCCTTTGGGCGATGTTTTAGAGGGTAACGGTGGCATGGTTTAGGATTCTAGGGTTTAGGGCCTAATTAGGGCTTATAGGGTTTAGGGTGATTCTAGGGTTTAGGTTTTCGGGTTAGAGGACCATGGAGCCTCAGGAATCAGATTCCTGGAAGGAAGACACCAGGATCTCCCCTTTACCCACTCTTCCGGAGAGTCTCTGACGACTCTCAGGTGGGCTCTCCCTCTGGAGGCGTGAAGGGCGCTTGGACCTTCAACCTCCATTTCGACCTGAGCACCGAGCCTTGGTTCAAGGAATCCAACAATCCTCCTCCGGGCTCCCTGTTTTGTTTTTTTTTGAGAAAACGCCCAGAACAGGGTCTGACCATTATAAGGGCTTTTGGCTTAGGGCTGGGGCGTTTCAGAGGCTCTGGAGCCAGAAAACCCTGAGAAAGAAGTTCTCGATTCAAAAGTCCCCCAAAGTCTTGCACTCTGAACACTCGAGGCAATTCCGAAAGTCATATAGACGGATTCACCGGCCCTCTCAAAGTGGTGCGCCTGAATCTCATGCGGGCATGCAGTGGAACGAAACATCCATTTGATTCCACCCAACAACGAATCGGATTGGGGAAGATTATGTCACAATATAAGTACACACACACACATTATGGGCCTGGGGTTGAACCTCGATCCAGGATGTGTATCGCGAGTCTGCTGTACGCTTCCTCATGGAGGCTGGCGTGAACTTCGACCAGCACGCCGCTTGGGTGCATCGACCAACTCCTGCCAAAGCCGTCAAAATCCCCCAAACCCGAAGATTGCAATGATACTGGAGAGTCTTTGACAGATGAAGTGTACGTAGTTGGCGACGTCATCCACGAGCTGCCGAGGCCAAAGAAGGCATCAACCCACTCAGTCTGGGACACAGCTTGGGGACATCGTTGGGACAGGTTCCTGGACTAAAGTGCATGTTGGGATCTCACGGTTGTGGTGATCTTCACCGGAGGCCAGTCCTGCTTTGCTTTTGGGGGCTGAATCTACCATGGTAGTCCGATGTTTCAGTGCCATGACTCGCGGCTTGTCCGAGCAGTAGCCGCACGTTTCGATGTGTGGTGCTCAAAACTTGAGGCGACCTGGCTCACCTTCGCGGGACTCTACGATCTTGGATACTTGCTCCTCCTGTCAAAGGGCGGGAGCTTGCCCGAGGAACGTGGTGAATTTCAAGATATGCTCTCGGCCAGCAGCGCTGGGAACGAGGACCTCCGCGATTGGCTTCCCTTCGGCTCCTTAAGTCACTTGCCGGCGCAGAGTGCTCGGCTTCTAGGTGGAAAGGGCAAGCATCGGACCGAAGCCGTTGGGTTAGTCTTAGCAGCTGCGTCGCGGCGATGCAAGTCATGGTCATGGCCGGTCCCGGTCCCACCATCACCATAACCGCCAGAACCATCATGGTCGCCATCATGATCATCATCATCATCATCACCACCAACATCATCATCATTACCATCATCACCATCACCGTCAGCACCGGCATCCTGCTGATGGCGACTGTAGCCAGCGTGATGATCAACATCATCTTCAATTCTATCGCCGGTGGCATCACCACTACAGCCATCATCATCTACTTCATCATCATCATGATTGCGATTCTTGCTTGTTCATCATAGCAGAGCATTCGTAGCACACAGCACCCGACATCGTCTTGCACTTTTTGTGCACTGTTCGCATCGTGTTTATCGTCTGCTTCGTGACTGGCTTTCGCGTGCAAAAAGGATAGCGGGAAGACTCGGGAGAGCAGCTATGACCCTAAGCGTTGCTTGATGCCTTCCATTGCTAGCTCGGTACCTTGATAGCGCGCTCACATGCTGTTGTCTCCGTCCATGCGTTTCGATCCCTGACACGGGCACAATCCCAGCAAAGCTGAGTGACGGTCAACCCCAAGCTCAGTGGCCTTATGGCCTCATGTACTGACACCGGATCTCTCCGAACGAAACCCTAAGCCCTCCATAAACCCTGGGAGCCAACATCGCCCCAAATTTCTAAATACCATAAGCTCCAACGACAAGCCCCTTGTTATGGCATATAAACCTTAACCTCGACAATGTTGCCTCGAAGCTCTGGAACTCCCAGGC